CTTCAGCCTGAGCATAGCCAATCACGTGGCCCACTCCCCGGCTTAAACCCCTCCCTTGCCTCCCCACGTCCTCCAGGTGCTCAGAAACTTCTGGGGCCCGCCCACCCGGTCCCCGCCGACCTCTCTGGGTTCACACTCGTGAGACTCCCCACCTGGGGGCCTCCCTCAAGGTGGTACCCTTCACCTTGACCTCCTGGGACTCTACCCTCTGACCTCGGGGCCTAGATACCCACTTGTCCTTTCCTCTCCTTACCTGTGTACCACCTCCAGTTCTCTGCTGGAAAGTCACTTCCTGCGGGCATCGTGTGAGCCCCAGCACTTGGGAGTTAGGAGTCCCAGAGTCAGGCTGCCCTACCCTCTTGTCATTACATTATAACCAGCAGTTTCATGCGTACCCTTCCCCCGCTTTAAACTCAGAGGTGAGGGCTGCATTTTGGGACACATAGCTGGAGCTGGATACACAGTTGACTGTTCTGGTGATCAGGTCTGGCTCCTAGGGGAGGGTTGTGGTAGAGACTTCGTGGGCTGGGTGTGGATAGGCCCAGGGCCTGCAAGCAAGCAGGAAGCTTTGATTGGCTGAGGGCAGGCGACTCTTATGGAAGAAGCACTGACTAAGAGTCCTACCTCAGGGCTCAGTGTGGACCCTTTTCTTCCACATGGGATGCGGAGACCTCCTGCCCAGCTTGAAACCTACCTTGCTGGGTGAGTCACGTAAAACAACCTGTGCTTGTTTTCTCTTCTGTAAAATGGGATCCACAGTACCGATCTCCAGGCTTGCTGTGATTTGAAATCTAAGGGAAGCACTAGACAGCGCCTAGCACATCATCAGTGCTCTAGAGCGCACTGTGCGCAGCAAAATGTGGATGAGTCTTCCTAGTCTCCTTCCAGTGAGCTTCCTGGGAGCATTAACAGGACTAGAAGGGATGGAAAGATGGAAAGGTGTGAGGGGGTTCATCTAAACCCAAATAACAGCTCCTGCTGCTTAGTAGGCACTGATGGCGTGCCAGGAGCTGTGCCAAGCACTTCTCTATCCTGACAGCCGTATGCTGTGGACATCCCAATTTTACAGATCAGAACAGGAGGCTCAAAGAGATGTGTGTGTTGTAGGGGGAGATGTTCCAGGCTCTGGAGATTTGTTGGTCTGTGCCTGGGACATTGCAGCACTGTGGGGAATGCCAGCCTCTCTCTGTTCCAGTGTTTCTGGCGGTGGGGTTCTGCCCTCTTCAAAGGGAGCCGGGGGCCAGGTGCGGTGGCTCATACCTGTAATCCCAGCACTTTGGGAGGCCGATGTGGGCAGATCACCTGAGGGCAAAAGTTTGAGACCAGCCTGGCCAACATGGCTAAACCCTATTTCTACCAAAGACAGTTAGCCAGGCGTGATGGCGCACGCCTGTAATCCCAGCCCCTTGGGGGGCTGAGGCAGGAGAATCGCTTGAACTCCCGAGTGAGCAGTGAGCCGAGTTCGTGCCATTGCACTCCAGCCTGGGCGACAAGAACAACAACAACAAAAGAAAACAACCAGAGGGGCCAGGAAGGGGAGGAGAGAGGAGAGGGAGGAATTCTGAGTGAGGGGGGAGGCCAAGGAGAGAGAATGCAGAGCTACTGGCATTGGAGACGGGGAGAGAGCAGAGTCCTAAGTGTGGATGAATAACCTCTCAGTGTGCCCCCAGCTCGTCCGTGTTTACTGACACCCCTGGCCCTTTTGCTTTCTCTTTCTCTTCAACTTCCTAGTGTGCTCCTCACATTTATCTTGAGCAGCACTGTGTGAGGAAGGGCAGGAAAAGAGGGGCAGGGAGGGTTGGGAGGCTAGAAAGGGAAACTGAAAGCCCACTCCCCCGTCAGAAGGCATTACAGGGTTCCCAGGGACACCTGCAGGTGCTTGGGAAACAGGCAGATCAGGCACTCAGGAGATCTTGTGGGTCAGGAGTGACCCTGTGGGTCAGGCTTTGAGGATGGAAGCAGCAGCCCTTGGCATAGTGTTCTCAGACAGACTCAGCCCAGGAGTGGGTCGTGAAATCACTTTGGTGGGGTGTGCCCTGCATTTTAAATAGGAAATTAGAATCACACCACCCTTGGTAAGGGTAAGTTTTGGTTTGTGTGTGCTAGGTCATGATGTCAAAAGTACTTCTAACTAACTGTTGGTCACATTAAAAAAAATTGAGGCGGGGTGCAATGGCTCACTCTTGTAATCCCAGAGCTCTGGGAGGCTGAGGCTGAAGGATGGTTTGAGCTCAGGAGTTTGAGACCAGCCTGGGCAACATGATGATACCTCGTCTGTACAAAAGATAAAATAAAAAATTAGCTAGGCAAGGTGGCAGTGGTGCTTGCCTGTGGTCCCAGCTACTCAGAAGGCTGAGGTGGAAGGATCCCCAGAGCCCAGGAGGTCAAGACTGCAGTGAGCCAAGGTTCTGGGCGACAGAGAGAGACCCTGTCTCATAATAATAATAAAAAAATAAAAATAGAAAAACTGTTTTAAGGTAAGGGCTTTGTCCATTGCTACTTGGTTTAGAATCTTGGTTCTGTCACTTGCAACTAAGTTTAGTTTATGCTGGGCACGGTGGGTGGCTCATGCCTGTAGTCCCAGCACTTTGGGAGGCTGAGGTGGGCAGATCACCTGAGGTCAGGAGTTTGAGACCAGCCTGGCCAACATGGTGAAACCCTGTCTCTACTAAAAAATACAAAAATTAGCTTGTTGTGGTAGTGGGCGCGTGTAATCCCAGACGCTCAGGAGGCTAAGGCCCTCACTTAGCCTCCTGTCTAAGACATGCGCTGTCTTGAACATAAAAGATGTTGCTTGAACTTTAAGAGCTGATAGTGGGCTGGGCACAGTGGCTCATGCCTGTAATCCCAGCACTTTGGGAGGCAGAGGCAGGCAGATCACCTGAGGTCAGGAGTTTGAGACCAGCCTGGCCAACATGGTGAAAACCTCTCTACCAAAAATACAAAAATTAGCAGAGCGTGGTGACACACATCTGAGGCAGGAGAATCACTTGAACCCGGGAGATGGAGGTTGCAGTGAGCTGAGATGGCGCCAGGGGCAGCTTCCAGCCCTGGAGACAGAGTGATCCTAAAAAAAAAAAAAAAGAGCCAATAGTAAAGTCTGAGTCTGGAAGGCAGAATTTCAACACCACGTTCTGCGTTAATAATGTCCAAAGACGGCGGGCGACGGTGGCTCAAGCCTGTAATCCAGCACTTTTGGAGGCCGGAGATGGCGGATCATTGAGGTCAGGAGATCGAGACCATCCTGGCTAACACGGTGAAACCCCGTTCTCTACTAAAAAAATACAAAAAAAAAAAAAAAAAACTAAGCCGGGCGAGGTGGTGGGCGCCTGTAGTCCCAGCTACTCGGGAGGCTGAGGCAGGAGAATGGCGTAAACCCGGGAGGCGGAGCTTGCAGTGAGCTGAAGATCCGGCCACTGCACTCCAGCCTGGGCCACAGAGCGAGACTCCGTCTCAAAAAAAAAAAAAAAAAAGAAAAGTCCAAAGAGAGATTTCAGGTATTTTTTGCTTCTGTTTTTAGAGACAGGGTCTTGCTCTTGTCACTAGGCTTCAGTGCAGTGGCTGCATTGGGGCTCCCTGAAGACTGGTACTCCTGGACCCAAACGATCCTCCTTGCCTTGGTCTCCCAAAGTGTTGGGATAACAGGAGTGAGCCACTGCGTGGCCAGGATTTGAAACTGGCCAGCGTTATCACTAAAATCAACACAATGGTGCTGGGCGGGAGTAGTGGCTCACGCCTGCAATCCCAGCTTTGGGAGGGCGAGGTGGGTGGGTCACCTCAGGTGAGTAGACCAGCCGGCCAAGGGATGGTGAAAATCCGTCTCTACTAAAAATACAAAATAGCGTCATGGCTTGGCATGCCCTGTAGCCCCAGTTACTCGGGAGGCCGAGGCAGGAGAATTGCTTGAACCCGGGAGGCGGAGCTTGCAGTGAGCCGAGATTGCGCCACTGCACTCCAGCCTCGGGGACAGAGCAAGACTACTACTGTCTCAAAACAAACAAACGCTACTAATCAGGGTTTTTCAGGCTTTTTGTGGTTCATGTCTTGGGGCGTTAGAGGGACAGAGTGTGGGGCATCCGCATTACTCGAAAAGTATTATTTAAACAAAATGCTTCTGCCCTCCTTAGTGGTGCAGCGCTTTGACTCTCAAATAGACCTTGTTGGCCCCTTTCATTTCTGGGAACAGAATACCGCCTATCGCATGGGGCTGTTGTGGGGCCTCGGTGAGATAACCGTGCCATGCGCTGCTGAAAGTGGCACTTAACGCTCAGTGTGATTCTTGCAGGCACTGGGCACTGCGGACTAATGTGGTACTCCCTGCCTTCACAGGACTTCGAGTTTAATGTGGCTTCAGTGTCGTAACGTTTATCATTTCATAACAGAAACGGGTTCAGAGAGGAAGGGTGACTTGCTCAAGGGTACAAGCTTGCTGGGCAGGGCTTGGACTAAAACCCAGGAATGGCCCTGCCCGCGGACTACACAGCCTGGGGCTTCCCACACGAGCCCGAGTTTGAGTCCGATCGGCAGTTCCCCATCTGGCATACAGGATGGGGTGCCCCCTGCTTTCTCCACGAAGTGGAAGGCGCCAAGAGGCCGGGCGGAATTCGGGGCCCCCACGCGAGGCCGGGCCTGTACTTTCGGGGTGGTGGGCGCCCCGCTCCCGGTGCCCCGTAGAGCAGGGAAGCCGCTCGCTCACCACGTGACGCCCCGGCCGGGGCACCCGCGCCTCCGCGCGAGGCCCCGCCCCCCGGCCCGCCGCGCGCCAGTGTCCTGGGTCGGGCCTGAGAGGGGAGAGCGGGGGAGGGGACGCGGCGCGGGGGGCGGCCGTGCGTCGCCGCGCGCCTTCCTCCCGCCTCTCGCCCGGCCCTGTGTCTCCGCGCCGCAACTCCGCCCCCTCATCCCGCCGCCCAGGCCAATGGCGCCGCGGCGCGAGCCTCCCCGGCCGGAGGCGGAGCATCCGCGCGGGGCCTGGCGCGCCTGCGCCCTGCGCCCGCCCCTCGCCGTAGGAGGAGGTGGAGGAGGAGGCGGCTCGGGAGAGCTAGCAGCGAGCTGGCTGGAGCGCCGAGCGCGAGTGAGGGAGCCGAGCCGCCCGCCGCCGCCGCCGCCTCCGCCTCCCCTCCGCTAACAGGAGCCCGGGCCGGGGCCCGGCACGCCGCCCCAGCCCGTCCCTCGGCGTCAGGCCGCGAGGGCAGCGCGCGCGAGCGAGCGAGGGGGAGGGAGAGCGAGCGAGCGCCGGGAGGAGGCGGCCGGACCGAGCGGGCGCCCGCGCGTGTGGCGTGAGGGGAAGCCGCCTGCCCGCCCCCTTCGCCTTCCCTTCTCTCCCCCTCCCCGCTCCCCCCCCGACCGCGGAGCAGCACCATGTCGGCGCCGGCGGCCAAAGTCAGTAAAAAGGAGCTCAACTCCAACCACGACGGGGCCGACGAGACCTCAGGTGAGAGCAGCGAGCCCGGGGGCCGGCCCGCGCCGCCATCTTCGCCGCCCGCCCCGGCCGCAGGCCGCCGGCGGGGCCCGGGCGCGCGCGGCGCGGGCGGGGGGCGCGGCGCGCGGCTGGGGCCGCGGGACTCGGCGCCTTTTTGTGCGCGGCGGCCGGGGCTGGTGGCGCCGCGGCGGCGGCCGGCGCTGCGAGGCGGGGGCGCTGCGGCCTGCTCGGCGCGGGCGGAGGAGACCCCCCCTTCCTCTCCCCCCTCCCTCGCTCTCCTCCCCCTCCCTCCCTCCCGAGAAGCCTCTCTTTATTGTGCTCCGCCATGATGCCTCGCTCCCATCAGCCGCCGCCGCCGCCACATGGTGCGGCCGGACGCGGCCCCGCGCCCGACCTCCCGCGCGGTTCCGCTTCGCGCCCGGCCCGCAGCGGCGCCCCCGGCACCCCCGCCCAGAGGCTGGCCCCGGCGGGGCTTCTGCCTGGAGCTGGAGCTGGGTGGGGGCGCGGGGAGCACGCGGCCGGCCGCGCGCTGGGCCTTGGCCGGCCGGGAGGATGCTCTGGCCGGCCTGGGCGCACTCCCCACGTGGGGCGGCCGCCCCGTCGCACCAGCGTACGGAGAAACCTGGCGCCGCGACCAGTGTATCGGGGGTCTTGGAAATGGCTAAGAAAGCTGGCCTCTGCCAAGGAGGCTCTCGGCAGGGGGGCTGCCAATCCCGGGATGGTTACCGGAAATGAACCGCGCGATCTGGCCCCTTCACACCCACTTAGCTTTGTAGGGGGGTTGTAGTCTTTACAGGACAAAAGGGCACCTATTCCAGAGCACACCCCCTTTTTTTCCCCTCCCTTCTGTGCCTCACTGCTTTCTGATCTAATATTTGCTCCCAGTAAGTGCTCCAAAGTCGTGTGGGGCCGTATCTGAGGTCCGCCCGCCTGAATTGGGTTGGAGGGGTTCCTGCTCTGAGAAGGTGAGGGCCAGTGTGTAGGATGGTGCCCGGTGCCTTTCCAGTCTTTGTAGGCGTGTCTGGTGTCTTCATTGTAATAGCAGAGTCGTCAACTTTCTATGAAAGGTAGTTTTACCTTGATAGGTGGTAGTCGTGGCCTAATTTGTATCATTGTCATGGTTTTAGTTTCCATATTCTAGTTAGCAGCTGCTACTGTTCTTTTGCAAGTGTATAATGTGAAATAATAAACGTGAAGACTTCTGAATAAGGTTATTCTGTATCTTTCATAGTAGAAACCTTAAGGATCGGTCTGTTGTAGTGAAACTCTTTAAAAAGGCGCTATAGAAAACCAATTTCTGAGTAACCCAGCAGACAGCATGACTTGTGAATGGTCTTTTAATTAAATAGAAATTTGTCAGCTACAAGCATGAACATGTGGAACACTTACCTTTGTAGTAGGTGTTTTTGTTTTAATGGCTTTTGGAATATTATAGTATTGACATCTGGAAAACTAGGTAAATTTATTGTAGAATTTAAGTTTTTTGTTCCTTTTTTTTGCAGAAAAAGAACAGCAAGAAGCAATTGAACACATTGATGAAGTACAAAATGAAATAGACAGGTAACATTTTTCTTAATATACTTTGGATAAATTTTCTGAGATGTGTCTAATGGCCCGGTAATCATTGAAGCTGTGGTCAAATCTATCCACCGTCAAAGGGGAAATGGTTCTAACTTGGTTGGAAATACTTACGTAGATTCAGTGTTTTTTGGTGAAGTGATTGTACAAAGTGTTTGATGAAAGTACATTGACCTTACAAGGTTTGGGTTTGCTTTCAAAGACTAAAAATTGCAGTGTAGGTCTTCTGATGGTTTAGCAGTGTGGCATCAGTGGTTGCTCTAACTTGCCTTACAACTTTGTTACGGAATTAGCCACTTTATTTAGAAATTGTACTTGAGGGAAACAATTGAAATGGGACTGGAAATAGAATGGGTGAAGTAAATACACGCAATGTTACCAGAGTGTTGAGTTTGGGCACTCTTAATAGTCATTATTACTGAGTGTTTATTGATAAATCAGACAAAATTGCCATCTTAGTTTTGATTTGAGTGTTTAAACTAGGTGATAATGGTTATTGTAATTTAGTATTTTGCATGGTTCCAAAGCTAGTAAGTAAATATACACATCTGTAATCTGAAGCAATTTTTTAATTTGTCAACATCTCTTTTCATTTGCTTCAGACTTAATGAACAAGCCAGTGAGGAGATTTTGAAAGTAGAACAGAAATATAACAAACTCCGCCAACCATTTTTTCAGAAGAGGTCAGAATTGATCGCCAAAATCCCAAATTTTTGGGTAACAACATTTGTCAACCATCCACAAGGTATGTTTTGGACAGGGCATTATTAAAGGATAAATGGTGTTTCTTAGAATGGAGGAAGCTTGGTGAAGACTTAGTCCAACATGTTGGGTCGCATGCAACAAAGACAGGCTGGGTGCAGTGGCTCACACCTGTAATCCCAGCATTTTGGGAGGCTGAGGTGGGCGGATCATTTGAGGTCAGGTTGGAAACCAGCTTGGCCAACACGGTGAAACCCTGTCTCTACTAAAAATACAAAAAAATATGCTGGGCGTGGTAGCGTACACCTGTAATCCCAGCTACTCGATACTTGGGAGGCTGAGGCAGGAGAATCGCTTGAACCCAGGAGGGGGAGGTTGCAGTGAGCCGAGATTGTGCACCATTGCACTCCAGCCAGGGCGACAAGAGCCAGACAGTGTCTCAAAAAAAAAAAAAAACTCAGAAGATGAGAAAAGACTTGCAGCTACTGCTTTCTATTCTGTTTAGGAGAAGCTATATTCTAATTGCTTGATGAAAGATAGTGACAGTCTGACATTGAGCAATTGCCTTTAGTTAATAACGGGTTTATAAAACCAAAGATTCTAAGTTTGGAGAAATTTTAAAGGGATCAGTTAAATTGTTGTTAGTGTATGCCTGTTGAAAATTCAACTGACCTGTAATTTTCTGGCCTAGTGTCTGCACTGCTTGGGGAGGAAGACGAAGAGGCACTGCATTATTTGACCAGAGTTGAAGTGACAGAATTTGAAGATATTAAATCAGGTTACAGAATAGATTTTGTAAGTATCTCTAACTTAATCTTGTTTGCCACTGTGGAATTTAATGTGAGCTTTGGTTGGACCTGTTCATATTTCTACTCTTTCAATTTCAGTATTTTGATGAAAATCCTTACTTTGAAAATAAAGTTCTCTCCAAAGAATTTCATCTGAATGAGAGTGGTGATCCATCTTCAAAGTCCACCGAAATCAAATGGAAATCTGGAAAGGTATGCTTTGAGGAATTATTTGACAAAAATAGCATTTTACCTATTTCACTTTAGTTTTAACTGCTTACAAGTGCTTGATGCATTGGTAATGTGGCTAAATAGAAAACCTTAAAATATAAAACGTTCCAGTGTGCTGAAGCCAAATATTAGAATAGTTTAAGTTCTCATTAGATGTTACAGATGTAGGCAGGAAGATCTCTTGAGCCTAGGAGTTTACCCTGGGCAACATAGACCCTTATCTTCAAAAAAAAAAAAAACAACAAAAAAGAGAAAATCTAGCCCAAGTTTAAGAATTGAGAACTGGGGCTGGGCGTGGTGACTCATGCCTATAATCCCAGCACTTTAGGAGGCTTAAGTGGGCAGATCACGAGGTCAGGAGATAGAGACCATCCTGGCTAACAAGGTGAAACATGGTCTCTACTAAAAGTACAAAAAAGTAGCTGGGCGTGGTGGAGGGCGGCACCTGTAGTCCCAGCAACTCAGGAGGCTGAGGCAGGAGAATGGTGTGAACCCAGAAGGCGGAGCTTGCAGTGAGCTGAGATTGTGCCACTGCACTCCAGCCTGGGGAACGGAGCAAGACTGCGTTTTTAAAAAAAAAAAAAAGAGAACTGGACTAAATTTTTTGTTGTTGTTTTTTCTGCAATGGTGACTGAGCTCTTCAAATGGCTTGCCATTTCTCAAAATCATTTACATCCGTATTTAGGTAGTAAGACATAATTTAGATATTTGAGCTGTGTTGTGCTAGTGGCTGTTACAGTGGAACAAATTTTATGGAAAACCAAATTTAGTTGATACTATTTCTACCTGCTATACAGTTTTGTAATTGCTCTTAGGTAATAATAATAGTGAATATAGTATACTGTTTTTTTTTTTTTGCTGAGCTTTTGGGGAAAATCTTACTTTTTAAATTATAGGGAGTTTTGGTGTTATAGAGAGATTGTATCAAAAGCTCTTCCGGTATTCATTTAGGATTTGACGAAACGTTCAAGTCAAACGCAGAATAAAGCCAGCAGGAAGAGGCAGCATGAGGAACCAGAGAGCTTCTTTACCTGGTTTACTGACCATTCTGATGCAGGTGCTGATGAGTTAGGAGAGGTCATCAAAGATGATATTTGGCCAAACCCATTACAGTACTACTTGGTGAGTTGAAATACTCATTTATTCAAAGTTGGACTTGTCTCAGTTTAAAAATGAGTCCTTACGAGTCCTTACACTGTGGTGGTGTTTTTTTAAGGTTCCTGATATGGATGATGAAGAAGGAGAAGGAGAAGAAGATGATGATGATGATGAAGAGGAGGAAGGATTAGAAGATATTGATGAAGAAGGGGATGAGGATGAAGGTGAAGAAGATGAAGATGATGATGAAGGGGAGGAAGGAGAGGTAAAAGAAAATTTGGCTAACCCCGCAAAGATAACCTTTAAAGAATTCATGTTATTTTGGGGGTTGTATATATAGTGTGGTAGAACTGACCAGAACTGATTGTGGAAAAAATAAGCCATTTTGTTGTTCAAAATTAAGGAAATGTTTGGTAAGCATGTGGTACTAATGTTTAACTAGTTGGGTTTTCTGTTTTATGTTTTTTGTTTTTTTGTTTTTTTTGGTTAGTCTTATGACCACCCAAGCTTGTTTTTCTCTAGCCAGTACTTAAGCCATATAGGCAGTGTAGCTGGTCAAATTCTGACATCTCTGAAATAATAAAGCTTCACATATTTTCGACAAACTGCACAATTCCTGAATAGTCGAATTAGGATAGGTTGGTTTTATTTCGGATTATTTGATCTGAAATGTGCCTGATTTGGTTAGAACTGAAAAGTTACTAATAAGCAACATCAACACGGGTGTTTCCTTCGAACGGATGCAGCTGACTTACAGGTTTAGAAACTGGAGTGCCCCCAGGGCATATGTTCTGTGGGGTCCATTGTGGTCCATATGAAAGCAAGTCTCAGCATTAATTGTGAAGATTAACTGCCCACTTTTTCTTTCAGGAGGATGAAGGAGAAGATGACTAATAGAACACTGATGGATTCCAACCTTCCTTTTTTTAAATTTTCTCCAGTCCCTGGGAGCAAGTTGCAGTCTTTTTTTTTTTTTTTTTTTTTTTCCTCTTGTGCTCAGTCACCCTGTTCTCGAGGTCTCTTTTCTCTACTCCATGGTTCTCAACTTATTTGGGGGGAAATACCTTGAGCAGAATACAATGGGAAAAGAGTCTCTACCCCTTTCTGTTCGAAGTTCATTTTTATCCCTTCCTGTCTCAACAAAAACTGTATGGAATCAACACCACCGAGCTCTGTGGGAAAAAAGAAAACCCTGCTCCCTTCGCTCTGCTGGAAGCTGGAGGGTGCTAGGCCCCTGTGTAGTAGTGCATAGAATTCTAGCTTTTTTCCTCCTTTCTCTGTATATTGGGCTCAGAGAGTACACTGTGTCTCTATGTGAATATGGACAGTTAGCATTTACCAACATGTATCTGTCTACTTTCTCTTGTTTAAAAAAAGAAAAAAAAACTTAAAAAAATGGGGTTATAGAAGGTCAGCAAAGGGTGGGTTTGAGATGTTTGGGTGGGTTAAGTGGGCATTTTGACAACATGGCTTCTCCTTTGGCATGTTTAATTGTGATATTTGACAGACATCCTTGCAGTTTAAGATGACACTTTTAAAAATAAATTCTCTCCTAATGATGACTTGAGCCCTGCCACTCAATGGGAGAATCAGCAGAACCTGTAGGATCTTATTTGGAATTGACATTCTCTATTGTAATTTTGTTCCTGTTTATTTTTAAATTTTCTTTTTGTTTCACTGGAAAGGAAAGATGATGCTCAGTTTTAAACGTTAAAAGTGTACAAGTTGCTTTGTTACAATAAAACTAAATGTGTACACAAAGGATTTGATGCTTTTCTCTCAGCATAGGTATGCTTACTATGACCTTCCAGGTTTGACTTGTATAACATCACTGTCAAACTTTGTCACCCTAACTTCGTATTTTTTGATACGCACTTTGCAGGATGACCTCAGGGCTATGTGGATTGAGTAATGGGATTTGAATCAATGTATTAATATCTCCATAGCTGGGAAACGTGGGTTCAATTTACCATTGGTTTCTGAAAGTGTTCACATCATTTGGGATACCAGATTGCTCAATACTTTTCTGGGTATATTGTGCCCTTGATTTTTATCTCCAAGTGGCAGTTTTTAAAATTGGCCTTTTACCTGGATATAAAGTAATAGTGCCTGCCACCACCATCCAACAGACCTGGTGCTCTAATGCAAAGTTATACATGGGACAGTTGCTGGCATGTCTTCATTGGCTATATAAAATGTGGCCAAGAAGATAGGCTCTCAGAGTAAGAAGTCTGTGATGGTTAGCAGTAACTGTCCCTGCTCTCTGGTATAAAGCTCTCAAATGTGACTGTGAATCTGGGTGGGATAAGGGACTCGGCTCTGTCTGCTCAATGCCATTGTGCAGAGAAGCACCCTAATGCATAAGCTTTTTAATGCTGTAAAATATAGTTGCTGAAATTAAATGCCACTTTTTCAGAGGTGAATTAATGGACAGTCTGGTGAAATTCAAAAGCTTTTTGATGTATAAAACTTGATAAATGGAACTATTCCATCAATAGGCAAAAGTGTAACAACCTATCTAGATGGATAGTATGTAATTTCTGCACAGGTCTCTGTTTAGTAAATACATCACTGTATACCGATCAGGAATCTTGCTCCAATAAAGGAACATAAAGATTTTTTTTGGACTGGGGTCATTCTCCTTGTTTTGTAGAGGAATGTTACTTGCTATTGGATTTAGAAATTGTTGTATTTTTTTTGTCTTCACATCATTAGTGACTGGGGAAGCGTGGGCTAGCACTAATGGTACAACATTGGTTTAGAAAGCTTTGAGCTGGTCGGTGTACAAGTAAAGGATAAATTCAAATATCTTACTTGGATACAGTTTCTGAGAGGGCGAGTATAGCATTTTCATTTTGAAGTCTCAAAAGGACTTTTTCACTGGGAAGAAAATCCAGTAAGGTGGGTGCTGTTATCTGCAACTTGAGCTACACATAGTCAGCTGCAGTTCAGATATTTTGAGACGGTATACATGTGTGAATGTATACAGTTACAGTATATAATAGTTGTCAAAATGGTCCTATACTGTTAACCTCTTAACTGTGCTTAATTTGGAAGTTAAGTTTTATAGGCATGTATAGGAAAAATTGTATGGAGCTTGGTACTCCTGTGGTTTCAGGCAGCCACTGGGGCATCTTAGAATGTATCTCCTTTGGATAAGTGGGGCTACTGTAGTCATTTGAATGAATATCCACAAGCCTGTGATAATTTTTCACACACTTAACAGTGAAACTTCAACTAGTGATTTTACATGCTGGTGAGATTCTAGGGCTGTCAGGTTATAGGTCACAAATAATGTTTATTTTGGGGAATGTCAAAAATTGGGAGCCCTTTAAGGTAGTAGTTCACTCTCAACTGTTGTGATCTCCTGAGGTGCTCCTAATATCTGTGAATCTGTAAGAGAACTAGGCTGTGAGAAAGCAAAATGGCAACCTTAATGTACCAAAAATTTAGTACACAGTAGCCGGCATACCTTGTGTCCAATTGCAAGACAAATTCTTGGGCTGGTCTTTAGTGTGTATTAGAACGGGCTCAGCTCCTTTTCTCAAGGACATTTGAAAATAGAAAATAGAAGCTAGGCACAGTGGCACATACCTGTAATTGCAGTGCTTTGGGAGGCCCAGGCTGAAGCATCGTGTAAGCCCAGGAGCTCTAGGCCAGACAGGGACATCCCATCACTACCATAAAAAAAAAATAAAAAATGGGTGTGGTGGCACTAGGCTAATTCTAGCTACTTGAGAAGCGGGTGCAGGAGGATCGCCTTAGCCCAGGAGTTTGAGGCTGCACTGAGCTATGACTTTGCCACTGTGCTTCAGCCTGGGTGGCAGAGCAGCAGTAGTTTACTTTTTAATAGGCCTGAGGCAAAGGGCTGCAGAATAGCAAGGACTTTTAAAGTGGAGGGTTGGTGACATTGTGTGCTCCGATTCTACCCAGACAAACCAAGATAAAAATGGACTGGTTTTAGGGCCAGGTGTGGTGTCTCACGCCTGTAATCCCAGCACTTTGGGAGGCCGAGGTGGGGAGATCATGAGGTCAGAAGTTCGAGATCAGCCTGGCCAACATGGTGAAACCCCCCTATCTCTACTAAAAGTACGAAAATTAGCCAGGCATGGTGGCATGAGCCTGTAATCCCAGCCACTTGGGAACTGAGGGTAGGAGATTGTTATAACCCAGGAGCAGAGGTTGCAGTGAGCTGAGATCATGCCACCTGCACTCCAGCTGGGCGATAGATTTGAGATGTGTGTCTCAGAAAAAAATACAAATTGGGTTGCAACACTGAGAAGGAAAAAAGCTGTATTGCATGGGAAGGGCGGAAAAAATGTTTCCTCATTGCCGTCTGTTGACAATTTTAGGGTTCTCCTTTCAGTTTGAGGTTAAATTTTTGTTTTTTGTTTTTTGAGACGGGAAGTTTTGCTCTTGTTGCCCAGGCTGGAGTGGCAAGGGCGATCTCGCTCACAGCCCTCCCCCCCCCGCCTTCCACCCGTTTCAGGATTCTGCCCTCCCTTTCCCAGTACTGGATTTACACAGGCATGGTGCCCCACCATGCCAGGCTAATTTTGTATTTTTAGTAGAGACAGTTTTCTCCATGTTGGGCAGCTGGTTTGAACTCCCGACCTTCCTGGTGAGTCCACCCTGCTCAGCCCCCAAAGTCTGGTACAGCGTGACCCGCCGCCCCCGCCAGTTATAAGTCCTTTTAAGGCCAACCT